ACCCATTCGGGCGCTATCATCGATAAGTGATGCATAATATTTAATTTGACATGAAAAATTCTGTGCCAGGTATGTGGCGCAGCAAAATTTTAAAGCTTATTAATGTTAGGGTTAACGTTTAGAATAAGGTTAGGTGTTGGTCGATTAAATGGTAAAATCGCACAAGAAAAACTTTTTGTTAAAGCACTGAAGGTGGTTTTTTATGCAGCAATATGCGATTTTTGACAAAACAAACGACAAACGTTTGTTTTGAAATTTCCTGATCGTGTTACACCTGATTCATTAAATCTGGCACAAAATTTTTTGCATCCCTACTTTCTGTGCCAGGGGCTCAATTACAGATTGTGATTTTCATTTTGTTTAAATCATTATATATTGTGTATACATTGCTATTATATCTTCGATTGTTGCTTAATAAGCATAATGAAGCAGGGATGGTAAATGACTTGAAATGATCCAAATGACCCAAATGACTCGTGACCGGTCATTTGTCATCTCACGTTCAAATGACCCCATGAAGATCATTTAATATTTGTTAAATGATATTCTAAGCCTTTTAGCCAATCAAAATCAAGAATGAATAACTATAAATTAAATACTCCATAACTTTTTACATACTCATTTTACCTTTTATGCATTTAAGTATTTAAATAAATTATTTATACTTATTGATATTTTTGATAATTACTACGTACTACTACATATGTATGTACGTACGTATATTATCTCTGACAAACAAAAATATACAAAATCAAATTCTTGGCAAAAACTTTGTAGCTTATAAATGTAAACAGCTCTTTTTTAACTTAATGGATATGAAAGATAAGTTATCATTACACTATTATTTTATTCTTAATTATAGAGCTGTGCTCACATTCACTAGTTCGAAATTGGTTTCCAAATAGTATATACTAGGCTTCACAAAATATCTTTAATTTGCTATAACAAACACTTTTAATATTTATTTATATTACGGCTAATAATCCCAGAATTTATTTTATATATAAAAATTGGGTTGAAACTCGCTGTTTTTTTGAGCTTATTTGTTTTTTATATCTTATGAGTTGTGAATTATCTCGCTGGTAAGAGCGTTTAGGATTGGGATAGAAATCAAATTATGATCATGGGCAATTCATTTATATATTAACAAATAAATGACTATGAAATTTAATAAATTATAGTATTGATTCAATAAATTTGATTTATTTTTAAGTTTAATACTATTAACAGAAATGAGACTTTCTTGAAATTTTGATTATTATCCCAAATAAAATAGAATCTTGTTTCCTAAACTTAAACTATGTAATGTCATCGTTTAAACAAATGGTTGGGTCACAACCTTAAAATTTGACCTTGGAGTTGATAACGCATTTTTGAATACTATAACCTCTTCAGGATATTGTAACCAAGTTAACAGAATAAAATTATTATTATTCCACCCTTTTTGTATGAATGAATAATAATTATTAAAGTTTTTTATAAGTATTTAATATGGTTATTTTTGGTGAAGTATTTGAAGTATTATTACTTACTGGAAGACAAAGAAATAGAAGGTTTCAATGAATCATCAAATAAATCTGATAAATTCTATTTTACCAATGAATTCTCTGCTAAATGGGTAGTGTATCCATAAATTTCAAATTCAAGTGGTTCATTACTTACAGTTCCCCATTATCTAAATGATTCTCAGTATTTAGCATACCAATCCAATTTTCAATTGTACGTAACCAACCATCTTCAGTATCATCGATTGTATTATCATTAGTTGTTTCATTAGTTTCATTCAGTTTAACCAATAGACTGTTAGGAGTTGATGAGCGTATTTTATTATCGCTTGTGATTAATAAATCTTCAGATGATTTCTGCATGTTATCATTATTGTCATTATAAAGTTGAATAGGAGCCATGATATGTGTTCGTTTATATTATAGTTCTGCATTTTCAATTTCTACATATTTTCTCTTGCTTACTATATCACTATGCAATTGGCTCATCGCTAATACTTTCTCAACCTTGATTCAAATTGTAAGATAAAAATTAAATAGTAAA